GAGAGCTCCCCAGCCCAGCTTCGGGTCCAGCGGATCGGGAAGCCCGAGGCAGGGGGCGCGGAGCTGTTTGTTTTCGTTTTCTCTGTGTTGGCGGAGGAGGAGAAGGGCGGAAGAAGCCGGGTGGAGGGGAGCGGTTCGCCTCTCTCTTCCCTGGTCCCCAGGGGCGAAAGGCCCGGCTTTGGTGGTAAAGGCCCGGCTTTGGTGGTGGTGGGTGGGAGCGGGGGGGATCCGAGGGCCTGAGCCGGGCAGGGCCCGAGCCGGGCGGGGGCCGGAGGGAGGGGCTCCAAAGTACACTCGGATCGGCTTAGCAGCCTGCCTCCTAGACGGGGAACACACCTGACCGCAGTGTTCACTCCAACCCTGTGGTCCCAAACTCCGTGAGGATGCCTCCTGCATCCAGTGGCCCATGCGAGACCGCTGGGGATTATCAAGTGCTCCCTGTCGCCTTCCCACACCCGCTTAATCTCGGAGAATCTGTTTCCTACAGTCCAGGTTCCTCCTATCGAGGTTATCCAGAGCAGCTCTTTGCTACCTCCTGCCCAGGTCTATTGTGGTTTTACTCCTGATTCCCCAACTGATTCATTCACTCTACTTTCTCCACTTTGCTGCCAAACTTTTTAAAAGTTTATGCCAATGGGATCTAAAATCCTCCAAAACCCCTCCCTACTCCCTCCGCACACTGAGAAGAAAAGTCCACGTTTCTTAATATGGTATAGAAGGCCCTTTGTCTTGGCCCCTGCCCACCGCTCTAGCCTCCTCTCCTTTCATGTCCCAACCTCAACCAATACTCAGACTCGTACTTCACCGCTGAGTTCTCACTGTAGGAGCTGGAAAGAGCCAGGCTTTTCTCAAAGCCTCTACATTTTATGCATTCTGTTCCCTCTCCCTAAGATGCCTTTCCCCTGGGCTGATTTCTGGTGGCCTTTAAGACTTAGATCAAGTTTCAGCTTTTCTGGGAAGCCTTCCCTGGCCACGATTAGATGCAGGTTCCTGTCATTCTCATTCTAGGGACATGTTATACAAGTATTCTTATACCTGTCTGTGCCCTCCACTGATCTGGACCCTTCAGACGAGGACTTTTCAACTGTGAATCCCCAACGCCTAGCCCAGTGCAGACTTGGCATTTGATAAACATTTGCAAACTGTTTTTTTTTTTTTTTTTGAGACTTTTGCTGTAGGTTGCATGCACTCGCTGGAGAGACAAAGAGACAGAAAGCAAGAAATCACCCCTAGGAGAGGGGATGGCCACGCCACAATCCCTTCTCCTCCATTCTCCTCTCAGGATTTTGGGCATGCACACACATGCACCTGATGTGAGTTCTGGGACTCGCATTGAGGTAGACTAGGTGGGGGTTCAATGACTTAGCCACTATGCCTCCTGCTGGTCCCATCAGCTGGGTTTTTTTATGTACCAGACTGGAGTACACAAACCACAGTGTGGATCTAGAGGAACACATGATCTGGCACAGCTGTTCTTCAACTTTTTGGTCTTAGAAACTGCTATGCTGGGGACCAGCAGTTGGCACAATAGCTATGTCGTTGTATTCCCATATAGTCGACTGTGGTTCGAGTCCCGGACCCTGTGGCATAAAGTCATGCTGGGCCTGTGTGCATGCGTGCCCAAGATCCCGAGAGGAGAATGGAGGAGAAGGGATTGTGGCGTGACCATCCCCCCTGGGGGTGATTTTTCAC